TTTAAAGTATGGGCAAATGCTAAGGGCGCTGTACATCCAGGGGGGCGCCAGAAATAAGCGAGGTTAAGTTGGTTTTGTTCTTGATATTCCTGACACATTCAGTGACATACGGCAATAACTCGAATACCTCTTACCCTAAAATGATCTAAAGTGTGTTTCCTACAAAAAGACAAAGCTGGTTATGTTTCACAGCTGTCTTTCTTTTTTTTTTTTTTCGCTCAACCTTATGACCACTGCTCTGGTTAGCTGGGAGAGCTCGTGCGGAGTGGAGCTCTCATTAAGAGACCGTCGGAAAAGGACTTATTTTTTTTTCAATTTTTCAATTTTTTTTTTGCTCTGTCCTCCATGTTTTATTTTAAACACAACTAATTTTCTCTTAAATGAGCACAAACAGTTACTAAAGTAGTCAAATGCTTCATTCATTCTTTCATTTATATAGATCTGTGCATTCTTACATTAACATCTCTGTTATCAAACAAAACACAAAGAGATTCATTTGCTGCTCTTCACTAAATAACTATAGTAACTTTAATCAATATGCAAATACAATTAAAAGTAGAGTAGATTTTATAGCTTTATTTCATTTCTGTATAATCCATTGTTTTTAATAGGTTAAACCTTTTTTTATTGTCAATATTTTCTAATGGTTGACATGTATTCTATCATTTGAAGCTATTTGTTGTCCCATATTTTTTACATCCCAACGTTGACAGATGTGGCATAACATTGCTAATCAATAAATAGCTATAGTGCTATCTGTTAGTTTTAACGTCAGCTAATGTTATAGAAGTGCATAGATGTTATGGAAAATAGTAATAGTAATATAACTACCTGCATCATTACTTCCTCAAGCAAATGTGTAAATATTAGATATATTCAGCAATAACGTTAATTGCATTGGCATATTTATCTGACGTATTTCCAGCTTGTAGTAGTCGATCAAAAAGCTATTTAGTTTCTTATGACTATACACAAGCAGTGGAATTTACTGCAATGTGACGGGGCGCCACCTGAAATCTCGCCTAGGGCGCCAAATTGGTTTGGGCCGGGCCTGCATTTGAAGTATCTCTAGAGACTCACTCTTCACACTAGCGAATTTATGAGGTGTTTGTGTATTTTTGATTAGTTTTTACATTAACAGTGTTTCTGACTTGTTCTATCTCTGTATAATTGTGTATAACCTTTTTCTGCTATCCTTAAATGTAAAGCTCTTTCAGACTTAATTCTTAAAGGCGCTATATAAAATGAAATGTTTTATTATGATTATATTTCAGTGTTATTTCTTCACTGTGGAGTTCGGGCTCTGTAAGCAGGAAGGGAAACTGAGAGCTTATGGAGCAGGTCTGCTGTCCTCTATCAGCGAGCTGAAGGTAACTAACACTACTGCTTTTCTCTGTATTTTGTGTAATGCATGTTTTTACCTTTTATTGATGAGCTTTTTTTTCCTTTTCTCTAGCACGCACTGTCAGGAAATGCCAGGATCTTGCCTTTTGACCCCAATGTGACTTGCAAACAGGAGTGCATCATCACCACGTTTCAGGACGTTTACTTCATGTCAGACTCCTTTGAGGAAGCGAAAGTCAAAATGAGGTGCGCAATCCAAAAGTTATAAGAAAAAAAAAGCATTATATGTCATAGGTTTAAAATGTATGTTATAATTTTTAATATTTATAGAAAAATTTTATATTTATAGGAAAAATATTATGTTTTAAATTATTTGTCTCCACTTTTAAATATTATTTATATATATTTAAATATATAAAAATTATTATTATTCGGTTAATCAATACTAAATTAATACATTTCATCCAAATATAGTAATATCTAAGGGTTTTCATATACAGTTGAAACCAGAAGTTTACATACACTCTAAAAAAAGGAACATAACCATTGTTTAAAAAATGTCTGATGGTAAATCATACTAAATGTTTACTATTTTAGGTCCGTTAGGATTACCTAAATTATTTCCATTTGCTAAATCCCAGAATAATAAGATGAATTTTTTATTAATTTCTAGAAAGCCAAAAGTTTACATACATTTCCTTGGTATTTTTTGAGCTTTGCTTTTTAACTGTATAACTTTGAACAAATATTTTGGGTATCCTTCCACAAGCTTCTCACGATAGTTTGCAGGAATTTTGGCCCATTCCTCCTGACATAATTGGTGTAACTGAGTAAGATTTGTAGGCTGTCTTGCTTGCACAAGCTTTTTCAACTCTGCCCACAAATTTTATATAGAATTGAAATCAGGGCTTTGTGATAGCCACTCCAAAACATTCACTCTGTTGTACCTAAAGCACATTTTAGCTAATTTGGCAGTATTCTTAGGGTCATGGTCTGTTTGGAAGACCCATTTGTGGCCAAATTTTAATTTCCTGGCTGATATCTTGAGATGTTGCTTCAGTATTTCTACATAATGTCCTCTCTTCATAATGCCATCTATGCTGTAAAGTGGATCAGTCCCTCCTGCAGCAAAACAGCCGCACAACATGATTCTGCTGCCCCCATACTTCACTATTGAGATGGTGTTTCCTAAGCTTGTAAGCTTTCTCCTTTGTCCTCTAAATGTAACACTGGTCATTATATGGCCAAACAGTTCAATCTTAGTTCCATCAGACTATAGGACATGTCTCCAAAAATTATTCTTTTTCCCAGTGTAATTTAGCAAATTGTAATCAGGCTTTTTGTGTTGATTCTGCCTTGTTGACTTTCCCATGTTGTCACACAAGGAAGCAGTGTGTTTGAGGTTTTCCTTAAATACTATTCTATAGTTGTGCCTCCAATTAACTCAAATGTTGTCAATTAGCCAATCAGAAACCTCCAAAACCTTGACACCATCATCTGAGCTTTTTTTAGAGGCAAAATAATCTTATTGTATGTAAACTTTTGACTTTTAAGAAAAGTTATGACAACTACTCAGAAAAATATCTCTGTATTTATTCCGCTATTAAGCAGAACAGAAACAAATGTGATAATCCTAACTTACCTAAAAGAGAAAAAGTTTAGTCACATAAACATCTGACTTTTTTAATGGATATGAGCCTTTTTATACAGTGTATGTAAACTTCTGGTTTCAATTGTGTGTGTGTATATATATATATATATATATATATATATATTAGAGCCGCACAATAAATTGTTTCAACATCAAGTCACATCACAGTATATGCAATATTGAGTTGGGATTAAAGTTGATTATAATCAATGCAGAGTTTAATCATCATGTAGTGAATGTTTATCATCTGCATGCATTTTTAAAGCGATAGTTACAATTAAAAACTTAAAATTATACTTAACCCGCTATTTTAATTTCACCCTTCACTTGTTTCAAACGTTTAGGAATTTCTTTTTATGTTGAACACAAAAGGAAAATATTTTAGTAATTCATAAATATTCGAAACGGGTGATTTAAATAGTGAGTAAATAAATGTTTGGGGGGTGAACTGTCCCTTTAAGACTATAATATTTCAGAGTTTAAAACATCTGGGCACAAGAAATTATGATGTTTGTAACTTAAATAATAATTACATTAATATCGATATCTGGTAATTAATCAATATCTGTACCTGAATACAGTTAGACTCTCTAGAAAACTATAATTCACTTTTATCTTTGCTATATTGTATTTATCTATGCTTGTAAATTATTTGTAATATATTATTCGAGACTCACTTTACCAAAAAAAATCACCCCAATCAATGTAAAAGTAAGAATTCTTTCCAAATAAAGCTAGTGAAATTATATTCACACCGCAATACAAAATAATATCACAATATTAGATTTGTCCAGTATCATGCAGCAACTTATAAATAAAAATATATATTTAATTAATAAAATTAATACTACTTTAATATTATATTTAGCTCTTTTTATTGTTTTGTCTCATTTAATGGGGAAATTTTTCTTTTTTTAAAATATATTATTTATTGATTTAATCAATAAATGAAACCTGTGCATCTTTATCTTTCAGGGAGTTTGCAAAGACCATCAAGCGGCCATTTTCAGTGCGTTATAACCCGTACACGCAGAGTGTGGACGTTTTGAAAGACACGACCAGCATCAACAATGTGGTGGAAGAACTGAGACATGAGCTGGACATCATTGGAGATGCATTAAGCAGGCTAAACAAACAACTAGGAGTCTGAAAAACTACATTTTCCAACAAAATCCCCCAGTCCCAAGTTCATTTGTTTTGTCACACTACTTCAATGTATGGCATCAAAGATGTGCTGTATGTATCTACCAAAGTCAAATCCTATATTTTTCCTATATTTATATTATTAGTTTGGCTTTTGTTTGATTAAATATGTGATTCAGCAAAAGGAACTTCTTGTATTTTATGTGTGATTTCTATTCGAGAAGCTGGTTATTATGCAAGGTGATAACAACGAATATGGTTAAAATCAGGCAATTGATCATAAGTGCAAAGTTGATGTCTGCTTATGTATGGGTGGTTTCAGTTAGCATTTTGTTTTAAACTGGCACCTTTATTGATAGATATTTTAGTAATTTGCTTTCTATTTTATTTCTGCACAGTATTTATACTATATAATGAGTTTTGTATCACTGTCTATGAAATGAAATATTGATTCACTGTACTTCTGTGTTAATGTTTATTTATTCATGAACTTCTACGTGGAGTAGGCCATAGAAAGGAATATGTATTAATTATAAATGTATGTAAATATTATATTGGACATTGATGATTATTTTTACAAATTAACGTTAACGTTACCCTACTTTTAAACTGTTTGCAGTTTGTATAAAGTTAAGTATTTAAAACTCAGAATGAAGTTTGCCTAAAAGTTCAAGTCTGGAGAAATGTGGGGGTAAAGATTATTAGCAAAGAGTTCATAAGCTTAAAATAAAAATAAATCATTGTTTTTCTACTGTAACAAAAATTAGTGTACCGTTTCTTCTTTGCTCCCAACGGTTGTTTTCCTCGAGGCACTTCAAATGTCGAAGTCTGTTCCGATTTCTGGACATGATTTGTCTTATGGCAGACGTAAGTACGTTAAAACTATGATTTTTTTGATTGTATAAATAATTTTTCTTATAAATTATGTCAATTATAATTAAGCAGACACCTGGTAAACGACAAGAAAGTGCCTTCAGACGTATTTAAAGGGGCTCATTAAGCGTTCATCTTAAACAACTGTGATTTGTTTATTGCCAAAATTGTTGAGAAAAGTAACGAATGCCACGTGACTACATTTTGATATTTTCAACGTGATAAAAATCAACATTGATTGGTATGAATAGAGTGAATATATATTGTTTATTGTAGATATACACTATATTTGTTAAATTGAATTAAAATCTATGCTATAATCTATTGTTTAATTATTATTATTAATATGCAAAGATTAAACGACTTCTTATTTGTAATTGATAGCTATTCAAATATACTTATTGTTTTTTTGAATGTTTTACAATTTTATTTATTTTATATTTGCAATTCAATGTCTTTAAAAATAACAACATTATACATATTTGTCAAACTGATCAACGTATGTTTTAATTCTGAATAATGTTAAATTATATACATAATATTGTAAGTTGACATTGCTTATATTTTAACAATGTAAAACTGAGAACGTGTCACTTATTTAATAAAAAATAGATATGTAAATTATTAAATCTGCTGCTAAGCCACGCCCATGTTGTGTAGTTCAACGCTTATTTCCATTCCACCAACTAATATTTCTTAAATCTGGGAAAACCGATGACGTTTACATAATTTTAAGGCATGTCATCAGTTGGCGCCTAAATCTAATGGAAGGAGATCAGCTGTCAAAATGTGTATCGCTACTGTACACGTGGGTGAGTTTATTTACACCTCATTTACTCACATTTATACACGACTGCCCCACCTGAAATTCACGAAAATACGCGAACTTTGAATTGATAAAGTTAGTAATTCGAAACATTTACATATATCTGAACAATAAACTCTTGAATTGGTGTCACAGGGAGCCAACAGTTATGGTCAGCTCGGGCAGGGAAACGCAGAAGATCAAGCCGAGCCGAGGCGTGCAGAAAGCGGACTGCAGGAGGAGCAGATCCGCGCTGTCACCGGAGGAGGCGGACATTCGGCTCTCATTTCTGGTTACATGGCCTATTTTGCTATAAAATATGTTTTTAAAAGTTTGAACAGCAATATGCAAGATTACGTTGTTTAGAATTAGTAAAATTGTACTTTAAATCTTTGTATGTTTGTTTACCTTTTATTTGTGGTACATTGCCGCTCCCTAGTGGTCGAGTAGTAGTATGACAACATTCTCCTTAAAAGTCTTAAAACGTCTTAAATGTCAAAACGTATATTTTAGGACTTAAAAAGTCTTAAATCTACTGAAATGTTGTGTTGTAGGTCTTGAATCTTCTTTAACAGGTGTTAATTCTCCTTTCTTAAAACTGGCCATTAACACTCATACAGTCCCCAAAAATCCATCTCAATAAAACTTTTTGTTGAAAATGAGCATTTAATTACTTTCCTTGCAGTAACATTTGCTTAGAAGTTCTCCGTTTATTTATTGCTGAGGATACTAACCTGATTTTATATTATTACAGGGTTTCTACAGGGTCTTAAAGTCTTAAAATGTCCTAAATCTCAAAATCCAAATTTTAGGCCTTAAAAAGTCTTAAATTTACTGAAATATTGTGTTTTAAGTCTTAAATCTTTTTTAAACAAGTCTTAATTGTCGTTTGTTCATAAATTGCTACCCAATCTGGCCAAAACCCATACAATAATCAACAATCCATCTCAATAAAACTTTAAACTTTTTATTTAAAAAGGTAATTATTAACTCTGTCATAATGGGTTCATTATTTTCTTTAAAATAACATTTCTTTAAAAGTTCTCCATGTAGATTTATTGTATTACATTTTTTAAAACCTTTAAAATATTTGTTAATTTTTTGATTTTAAAGAAAGTTGATGTTGGGGAAAAAGTGTATGCATACAAGCTTGTTTTTACACAATATTTCAAATATTTTGAATCTAAAAAACAAACAAACATATATATATATATATATATATATATATATATATATATATATATATATATATATATATATATATATATATATATATATATATTATAAAGGTATTATTGTATTATTACTTGTAATAAATTATAATAAAATATTTTTTGATAGGGCAAATAAAAATCCTTTCCATCTGGGCCATTTGAAAAATTCCTTAGGCTTTAACGCTTTATAAGTCTAAAATTTTAGTCATAATGGTCTTGAAAATGTTCTAAAAAGTCTTAAATTTAACTCTGAAACCTGCAAAAACCCTGTATTCAATTAGTATTATTATTGTAATGTTAGACAGAAGAATTGACAGCTATGTTTTGTTCTATTCTTGGTAAGGGTTATAGGGTTTGTTAATGGATATTTTGGATAGATTTGAAATTTAATAAATGTAATAAATTTTAATAAAATGTACTCCATTTTTAAAAAAAATTGGTTAGGGTAAATGAAAATCTTTTCTAACTGGGATTTTTGAAAACAAATTCTGAACATTTAGCCCTGTATAAGTCTAAATTTTTTTACATAATGATAATGGTCTTAAAAATGTCTTAAAAAGTCTTAAATGTAACTTGGTTAAACCTGCAGAAACCCTGTCAGACACTTTCTCCTTTTTTCATTCTCTCCACAGACTCAATATTACCTCACAATATTAAATGAGAACAGAAAATGAGTAATTTCAAATACTGTAACTATAGAAATAATGATACCAAATGTAATAATAATAATGTAATAAAAAAATAACAATTCATAGTGAATGGTTTGGCTTTATCATTGACTTTATCATATCATTTACTTTATAGTTTCTTATCATTTCTCAAATGTTTATAAGACAAAGCTTAAACTTGAATCGCCCAAAACTAATTCTTCTCTTTTCTTCGACATTTATGAATGCAATATTTTCCAAACAAAATAAACAGAAATTCCAGAAATGCCTTAAAGAACTTTCGAAGAATCACTCCAAATCTATTAAGTACAAATACAGTCAACAAAAAGATGACAAATACTTAATTCTCCACAGATTCAGGCGAGCTGCTGGTGTGTGGACAGAACCACAAGGGTCAGCTAGGGCTCGGTCACACCTTAGAGATTATGACCTTTCAGACCTGCCCTTTACCTGGGTTTGGAAGAGTTCAGCAGGTGTCCTGTGGGTGGGACTTCACCATTATCCTGACAGGTGAGTGTTTGGGTCATTAAATTCATATGTGGTGTGATCCTTCTTCATAAAACCATTCATTAAGGTATGCTTTGTAAGAGAGAGATCTTTACATGATCCTAATTCTGAACACTGTATTACTCATATTGCCATGAACATAACCAATGCTGGAGTGGTACAGGGGCTCAGTGGTTAGTCACCTCACAGCAAGAAGATTGCTGGTTCAAGTCCCAGCTGGGCCAGATGGCATTTCTGTGGAGTTTGCATGTTCTCACCGTGTTAGCGTGGGATTCCTCCGGGTGCTCTGGTTTCCCCCACAGTCCAAAGACATGCGCTATAGGTGAATTGAATAAGCTAAATTGTCCGTAGAGTGTGTGTGTATGGGTGTTTCCGAGGGCATCCGCTGTGTAAAACAGGTAGTTTATTCTGCTGTGGCGACGTCTGAAATAGAGACTAAGCCAAAAGTAAATTAATGTTTAAAAATGCTGTTGATATGGCATCAAAACGTAAACAAAGAAACAAACAAATTCATGACTGAAGCACAAGGTTTCTGTTTTAGTTTTTGGATGAATTTCTCTTTAAAGCAGACCCATTATGCCCCTTTTTTACAAGATGGACTGTAAAATAAGTCCTTAGATGTCTTTAGAGTGTGTATGTTTAATTTCTGCTCAAAATAACACACAAATAATGTTTTATAACTCATTGAAACTGGCCCTTTTTAGGCTTGGATCCTAACTGTGATGTTTTTGTGACTGTCGCTTTAAATTCAAATAGATTGTGCTCTTTTCAAAAGAGGGCGGGGCTAAAAACACCCATGAATCCGATTCAAAACTATCAAAGGCTATCTCTGTGAAGAAGTGGCTCAGAAGAAGTTGAACAACCTTATTAATCCCAGCAAGAACAACTAACTTAGAGCAGTAGCATCATGATACAACAAACACATAAAGAAACAAATTACTTACAAACAATATTAAAAAAACACAATCCAGCATGTTTGATAATAACTTCAAAATTATACTACAAAAAAAAAAAAAAACAGAAATAGGAAAGACCCATACATTAAAAATGTAAAACTTATAACATTTTTGCCTCAGCCTTATTGCCTCAGCAACAAAGGTGAAGTTATATCTATTAGAAGAGCATTTAATACTTCTAAATTTTCTATAGAGTAACCTATGATAATCTGTGCAGAATACGATGTTCATGTGTGCATTCTAAAACTCAATACTAATAATGCCTTAATATGTTCGGCAGGTGCAGCTCATAAACTAACAGGGACGGCTGCTTCTCACTCAGGGCTGTCTATGCTAATGAGCGAGGGATAGTCATTAATGGGCAGGGCTCTTACAAAGGGAGAATGTCAATCAAAGTTTTTATCAAGTATAATTAAAAATATATATATATATTTACTATTAGAGGCTGACTAAATGATGCGCGGATGGCGGTTATATCCGCAGGCGCTTCGGATAATCCGCGGGTCGGGTAATTAAAAAATACATTATGATTAATTGTGGGTCGGTTGCAAGTGGATGTATCGGGACATGGTAGTGGACCAGCGAAAAAGCAAAAGCAGAGTGTGCTTTGCAGAATGGGAAGAGGAGACGCCCATAATAATGGATGAAGTGCAAGAGTTTCAGTTAGAGGAATCATCAGAGGAAAGTCTGCTATCGTTCTGGGAGAAACAAGATCGCCTATTTCCACAACTGCAATCTGGCAGCTGGCCACTTTTTGGAGGCGAGGCGGAATCGCCCAAATCCAGGCACAGTAGATGCTATTCTGTTTTTGCATAGTGCGAAGAAAAAGGACAAGTAAATATAACATATTTTTCAGCCGTGTAGGCCGAAGTGGCACCGTTTTTGTTCCTGTATCTGCTAAAGCTGTAATGTCTTATTTTTACTTTTTGTGTCTATTTGTATGTCTATATGTAGAAAATGTTATCTAAAGACAAACGTTTGTTTTTATAAATAAATGTTCATTTAAAAACGTTTAAGAAAAACGTATTATTTTACTATCAGAGATGCGCAGATTAAAGCTCTCTGAATCTGCTGTTAATATCCGCGGTGAACTATCATCATGCCTAAAACAAATAATTAAATTTGTTTTTTCACAAATTTCACAAAAAAAGTGATGATCGGGCGCGGGTCAGGTGTAGATACATTTATCAGAGAAAACTATGTGGTGGCGGGTGCAAGATTAGTATGAAGCTGCGGATTCGGGTGTCATTTCAGCTAATCCATCTCTAATCCACAAACTGTTGCCACACAACTGTGTTTAATAATAAAAGTCATTTTTGCCTAATTGGTCCACTTTAAGGTTGTTATTAAGTGTCTTTTTTTAGAGTTTAATCTGGAGCTCTTACTGTAGTTCTTGTTTAATTCAGCTCTTCTCTCTGATCTGTGTGTCAGGTGATGGTCTGGTCTTGGCTTGCGGCTCTAATGCATTTGGTCAGCTGGGCGTCTCGGCAGAGAAAACACACTCGGCAGAGCCTCTACTCTTGAAGGTGGGAGCCTGCAGAATAGACTGTGTGTGAATCAAGAATGTAATTAAATAAAATCACGTGTTCTGCTTGCAGAGCTTCCATGAGCCAGTTACTAGTGTGGCTGCAGGACTCAGACATGCTTTAGCAAGCACAGGTATTACATGAAGTATTTGTATATAAAATAAAATAAAAATGTGTATATAATTTATTTTAAGTGCATTACAGTATGTGATTATTTGTAGTCTGTACTCATTTAGTTTTAACAACTCTAATAACTATAAATAGCTATACGATAAATAATTTAATGGTATAAATTTATTCTACACTTTTTTATCTTACTTTTTATCTTTACTTTTAAATATCATCATATTTATTATCACATTTACTAAGTATCATTTTAAAATGCTGAATGTGTATACGGGTTTTATATGAACTATTGCATTTTTCTCATTTAATTTATTCCTTTATTTAATAATAATGAAAATTTTTTCTAAAATAATTACTTTAAATATTGAAAATATTTAATTTGAATATATTATTAAATATTCGATGATTAATATTGATTATTCTTGTAATTTGTTTTAAATATTGACAATATATTATCTGAATATTGAAGATATGTTTTATAAATATTTTATTAGTATAATTGCACATTTAATAATAGAGATTATGTATTTATTTAATGTGTGTGTTTGTGTGTGATATTCAACTTTTATCTGTGTTATTTCCTTTTATGTAGACACAAATAATTTGTTCAAATATGTGTGTGTGTCTGTCTAAAGCATCAGGTTGTGTTTATCAGTGGGGAACGGGTCTGTCTAGTCACGCTAAGAGAATGTTGAATCCCCAGCCTGTTCCTTCACATCTTTCCTCGAAGGAGCCCTGCCTCGTCCCAGGTAACACTAAATCAACCTTAACCCCTAATATTGAAACACTCATAGAAAAAATGGCTTGTTACTGTTAGTTATTACAAGACATAAAATATGTAATATTGTAATTAATGTCAGTAAAGTTACTGTATATGATTCTTCTGCCAATAAAGAGCTAAACAACATCTCAAAACACACAACATCTTATAACGATTAGCAATGCTATCAGTTCACCTCATTAGGTCAATAGGGTTAAAAAACTGTTCCTTCTTATATTAAGTGATACTAACTACTATGTATAACATCAAAATATAGATACAGTGTTCTTACAGTGTTGTGGTGCTCTTGAGGTGGGACACGGGTATGGTCTGGGACAGGTTTGGTGGTATGGGTAGGTTTAAGGGTGGGTTAAGGTGTGAGGGAAGGTCAATAGTGTAATTACAAAAAATAATTGCAGATCTACTTACATGCAGGTATTTAATCAAGCAATACACAATAAGTACATTGTACCAAATTATTAATTTTAGTGTAAGCACATTTTAGTTAAGGCCACATAAAATGAAGTGGGATCAAAAAAACAATACTACACTAATATAAAAATATATAGTAAACTGATACTTATCAATTTCAATTTATTTAAAAGGATAACCCCATGAGATGCAACATCTAATTTTCAGTGGGTGCCATTGGATTGATTACATTAGGAATTTCAAATATTATCACATTTATAGATGCAGATGACGCGTTATTTTATTTCGTATACTAATTTGGATACATTTCTAGCACAATCTCTCATTGTAATGTGAGGGATGCTGACAACAAAGTTAAGTGTCCACGTGCAGTTTATTTTAAGGATGGTCAGGTAGGCAACGGTCAACACTGTCAAAGAACAGGCGAATCGTCAGTACAGGCAGCAATGAATCAAACGATAACACAAGGCAAGGGGTCAAAACACGACTTGGCCAGACAAAGGAAACTGTGTCGTAATGTCACAAAACAGTTAACTAGACTCAGCAACTGGTGTGTGTGAGTGTGTCTGTGCTGCTTTTGAAATCCAAGTAATCAGTTCATAACGATCCTTCGGCTGTGTGTGTATAATCAAGGTGAAACAGGAACAGGTGTGAGTGTGTGGTGCATGAAAGGATTTGTAGTTTTTTTGGTGGCAGAATTGTAGTTCTCCAGCGATCTGTATGGACTAGATCGCTGGCGATTGTGACACTCGGGTTCAAAATTAATTTTTTGAAAACATACTCATCACTCTTTATGGCAATTCATATATAAATACTGAGAAGGGCTGGAAAAAACACAGAATGTAAATTTTATTCTGTAAAAAGCTTTTATAATACAGATGAAAAAAGGTGCAATTTGGTGTTAGATAAGAGCTGCTTAAGTGAAGATTTATGAAAAAACAAACAAATCTTAAGCAAAATAAATGTGTTGTAATTTAAATGCACACACACACACACACACACACATTGATAAAATGTGACACTTAAAAGTGCATTTATTAATGGTGTAACGATACGCGTATTTGTGTTGAACCGTTTGGTACGAGACTTTCGGTTCGGTACGCATTACAAACCGAACTATTCAGACTGATATCTAAAAAGATAAAAGAGTAAAAGTGTACAAAATATAATCTTTTCAGTGCAACAATGCTCAACAGGGCATCCCAAATGACGTGACAGGCAACATGCTGCCTTCATCACCCACCTCCAAACACTACTCCAGTCAGGCAAACGCTGCATTTGCTTGTAAAATGGCTATAACTTTAATGTAATCCTCCTATAACCAACAGCAGGTCTGATGTTTGGGAACACTTTGGTTTCGGTACATTTGTAGCTGTCGATATGAGACAGGGCTTGAAATTGCTACCGTTTAGCTCGCATATGTGGCCGAAATTTTATCTATGCGACATCAAAATATATTGGAGTGCATAAAATTGATGTCGTGCGACCAGTTTTCTTAGCAAAATGTTCACCATGTGCGTGGAATTACGAGGCATTCACACATTAAGCATCTTTTCACCTAAAAACGCCAAACGCAGCGCCCAGGAATGGTTTAAAACAGTTGACATGATAACTTGCAGTAAACAAAGCTTGCAATGCTTGCCCTGCCTTCAGCCTTCATGACAGGGCACTACAGCCACGAAAACGTAAAGGTCTGGATACGAGAGAATGAAAACAAACAACACTGGCAGATTTAGTTTTGGAAACCACCTAAAGTTACAAATAATGGCACATCTGATTACTAATCATGAAATGAATGTCAATCCAACATTTACACTTTTCGAAGAGTGGATAAAAGACTTCCAGTGGTTAAAGTCTGCTATGAAACCCGTAAGTCCGTAAAGCCGGTGGGACAGAGTTTTCAAGTAACAGTGTTTGCCATTGAATCTACACATTTTAAGCACGAGATGTTCTAACGTTTTTTAATCCTTCATTTAATCGTCACGATGCTGTTAATCGTGCAACTGACACCGCGTTCACCATCGCTAAAGAACTGCATTCACTAAGATGAAACTAATATTGCAGCTCATGAAAAAAACGTTACTGCTATTAAGATGACGTATGCAAATAATAAGTTATATGTCAATATCATCTGTGCAATATCAGACAGCACCCGTGAAAACAGCACATTATTACATTACATTATTATTGTTAACTAGTAAAGTAAATTAAAAATCCGTAAATTAAAATCAGAGAAATTTTCTGGCTTTTTTATTTTTTTGCTGTATCGAAAACATACCGAAGGGTGACACCACTGTGTCGTATCGAACCGAACCGTGATTTTTGTGAAGCGTTACACCCCTAGCATTTATTATGTTTTCTTTTTACACTACACAAAAATATTTTATGAAAATTATTTAAATTCTTATTTATTTAAAACGTTTTTCTGGCTTTCTCATCTTCAGGCTTTGCTCATGTGACCACACAGAAGGTCATTGCAGGCTCCGCCCACTGTGCTTGCTTGACAGGTGAGAGATAATCTCAAACAAACTCTTTAATGACTGTCTTTAATCCGATTGGTCAGTTTCACAAAAGTGTTTTCCACAGTGAACGGTGATGTGTTCCTCTGGGGCAGCAATAAACATGGTCAGCTGATCAGCGGGAGCCTCTTCCTGCCTCTTCCTGTGGCTTTGGATCGGTCAATGCTGCAGGACGAAAGGGTGAGCGATGTTCACAGCGGCTGGACGCACCTCGTCGCACAGACTGGTCAGTTATGCTAAAGTCCATTTAAGGCAAGTCAATTCACTCGGTGGCCATCTTTGAAAGGCCTCTCGGGCAGCATGCTCGGTGTTTTGTTTGAATGGGAAAAAACATCAAATCCTCCAAATTTGCTTGCCAAGCTTATGATTAAATTTCATTTTAGGAATCACCAATAAAATTAAACAACAATTGGTCTGGTCCGGGGGCACTTCCCCAGAGAATCGTCAGTCTATGGTGATCAATAATGGACCGTTACACTTTTCCCCATTCAAAACTATACGAGTGACATGTCATGTGTGTTCTACAGTCTTTTGTCATGCTTCACACAAACATTTGTTTATGCATTGTTCCCTGATAAGATGATGATGAAAAAATATATTGTGTATTTACAGAGAGTGGGCGGGTCTTTACGTGGGGCAGATCCAATTACGGACAGCTAGGCCAGACTGATCACAGCATGGAAAAACAGTCAAGTGATGAGCACCTTGTGAGATCCCCTGTTGAGGTTAAAGCTTTATTTGGAGCCACACAGGTATGATGTCACAGATACTGTGGAAAAATCGTTTATTTTTTTCTGTTTTAATTATTCTATTTAATAAGACGATACATAGTAGAATAAGAAACAACAGACTGTCTTAGTTTATATCCACTCATACTTTACTATTAGACTATACGTCTTGATGCATGCAATGCAGAATGAAATGACAGTTTATCGCAATGTACACTCAATCATAATTTTCTACTCAAAAAATCCCCTCGGAAAAAGAAAACAATCCTCTAATGAAAAAAAAATGAATACATTAATTAATACTATTGAGAAATGTTACATATAAGGAAGTAAATAAGATTTAAAATAAACTAAGTGTTTAAATAGATGAAAAGTCACTCTGAGATTTTACTGTTATATTAAATTATATACAGTTGAAGTCAGAATTATTAGCCCCCCTTGGAATTTTTTTTTCTTTTTTTAAAATATTTTCCAAATGATGTTTAACAGAGCAAGGAAATTTCCACAGGATGTCTAATAATATTTTTTCTTCTGGAGAAAGTCTTAGTGTATTATTTCGGCTAGAACAAAAGCAGTTTTAAATTTTTTAAAAACAATTTTAAGTCAAATATTATTAGCCCCTTTAAGCTATATTTTTTTCAGATTGTCTACAGAACTTATAATCGTTATACAATGACTTTTCTAGTTACCCTAACCTGCATAGGTAACGTAATAAGCTTAGTTAAGCCTTTAAATGTCACTTTAAGCTGTAAGAAGTGTCCTAAAAAAATATATAGTAGAATATTATTTACTGTCATCGTGGCAAAAATAAAATAAATCAATTATAAGAGATGAGTTATTAAAACTATTATGATTAGAAATGTGTTGGAAAATCTGCTCTCGGTTAAACAGAAATTGGGTAAAAAAAATAATAAGCTCAATCGTAATTGTGGTAAAATCACTGTAATGCACAGCCTTTTGTGGTTTATTGTAAAATGGCAGCAAATATGAAATGTAAAAAATAATGAAATGTTCAATAAATGTGTTAGTTTTAAATAAACTCAGATGCCTATTTCCATACATTGTTATGTTAAAAGAAATCTTATTTTTGTCTTTTTATTTTTCTTTTTTTTCATTAATTCAGTCATTTCCCTTTAAACCTGTTTTAACACATTTTAATCTGTTTTTAATCATTTTTATTATTTTGTTTATTTCTAATACTTGTATTTTATGCTTCTTTTTTTCTTTTTTTATGTGAAGCACTTTAAATTACTATTGTGTAATGGTAATTATTTAAATGACCAAATGTGCCATATAAATTAAACTTGACTTACCGAAATAAGTAAAATATAAAAAATAAAATAAAAAAAGAAAGAGAGAGAGAGAAATTAAAAATTATTTAATAAAATTATGAGGTAAAAATTTTAAAAACGGACACAACATTACGTTATAAAATGAATAGTTAGTCTTTAGTTTTTTAATATTGATTAATTCCTAATTCTAACATTAACTAATTTGTATGACTTTCTATATCATCATTTAGCTTTCTAGAACTAATAATAATAATAGTATTTATTATATATATAATAAATATAGTTTTTTTGTTTTTTTTTTAACTTAAGCATTTTTTATTCATTATGTGTTAGAAATTGGCTTCCATAAATAAACAAGTCTTTATCAGCTGTAGGCTGCAGAATTGTATGACCCTATACCTCATTGTTTACAATTACAGTGGCTTTGAACACAACTCAGAATCACAGCTCTCCATAAAAACACTACATAGGCAGATGAATGCAGTGTGTATGGTCTTCCAGCAGGGGGCGAACATACTCTGCGCCTTCCCACAATCTCTTTCCACATCCTGCCCAGAGACACAGGCTTGATTTAAATTGAAGGTCATGGCTTACCTTAGAAAAAGCAGCATCCGTCTGCATGTGTGTTGAAGACAAAGACTCGACAGCACACTGTTTCAAACTCCATTTGAGAATTAGATGTTTGCTGCGTCAGTGGAGCTTGAAATCAAAGAACAGCCTTCAGACATTGTGAGCGAGTGAAAAGAGACGTTTGGCATTTATGTCTTTTTAACATCCTGTTTTCAAGTTCAGAGAGGGACACGTCATGCAAACATTGTCAACTGTATTTCTGGATTTCTTTTCGTGACTTGGTTTTTGCTTTTTCATGCACTTGGCAATTTTTGGATTTTTTTAAAGGGTTTTTTAGTCTAATATAAAGAAAAGATGCAAAATACACTTTTAAATGGTTATTCTGTTGTGCTTTATTAGTTTAGTTTAGATTTTGATTAAAGTACAGTTTTTTTTAAGGGTGTTTTCTCTAAATGTTGCATTTTGTGCATGTTTTTTCATGCACTTGGCAGTTTTTATAGTTTTTGAAAGGCTTTTTTAGTCTAATATAAAGAAAACATGCAAAATACATATTTAAATGTTTACTTTGTTGTGCTTTAATTAATATCTACAGACTAAATTAATAAAGTACATGTTTTTAAGGGCATTTTCTCTAAATTTAGCATTTTGTGCATGTTTTTTCATGCACTTGGCAATTTTAAGAGTTTTTGAGAGGCGTTTTTTTAGTCTAATATAAAGAAAACATGCAAAATACTCTTTTTAAATGTTTATTTTGTTATGCATTATTAATTTATTAATTTAGTCTGTGGATATTAATTAAAGTACATGTTTTTTAGCATTTTGTGCATGTTTTTTCATGCACTTGGCAATTTTTAGACTTGTTTGAGAGGCTTTTTTAGTCTAATATAAAGAAAACATGCCAAATACACTTTTAAATGTTTATTTTGTTGTGCTTTATTAATTTAGTCTAGATTTTGATTAAAGTACAGTTTTATTAAGGGCGTTTTCTCTAAATGTAGCATTTTGTGTATGTTTTTTCATGCACTTGGCAATTTTTTGAGTTTTTAAAAAGGCTTTTTGTAGTCTAATATAAAGAAAACTTGCAAAATACACTTTTAAATGTTTATTTTGTTGTGCTTTATTAATTTAGTTTGTAGATATTAATTAAACTGCATGTTTTTTGTAGCATTTTGTCCAAGTTTTTTCATGCACTTGGCAATTTTTAGACTTTTTTGAGTTTTTTTTTGTGTAATATAAAGAAAACATGCAGAATTCATATTCAAATGTTTATTTTGTTGTGCTTTATTAATTTAGTCTGTAGATTTTAATGAAAGTACATGTTTTTAAGAGCATTTTTTCTAAATCTAGCATTTTGTGCATGTTTTTTTCATGCACTTGGCAAATTTCTTTTAAGACAAGTTTTTTAGTATAATATAAAGAAAACATGCAAAACAACAAAAAAAGACACTGTGCCCCGGCGCATGGTCGTTGTGTTTATTCTCTTAACGAGTTATGGGTGGGTTTTGAGCAGAACGTGCATTAAACCAATCAGAGTCTTATCTCCCATTCCCTTTAAAAGTCAAATGTGTCACAAATGTGCCTCAAAACCCAACAGGTGGACAAATCTAAGTTTGTTTTTATTAAAATAACTTAAATAGGCATATAACAAATAATACTAATAATAATAACAATAATAACAATAATAATAATAACCATATACAAAAGCAAGTTGTTGTGAATAAACTGAAACTCCGGTTGCTACTGTTTCCCCCACAAATTCAAAGACATGCGCTGTAGGTGAATTGGGTAAGCTAAATTGTCTGTAGTGTATGTTTGTGAATGGGAGCGTATAGGTGTTTCCCAGTGATGGGTTGCAGCTGGAAGGGCATCCGCTGCGTAAAACGTGCTGGATAAGTTTGTGGTTCATTACGCTGTGGTGATCCCTGATTAATAAAGGGGCTAAGCTGAAAAGAAAATAAATGAATGAATGAATATTCTCTTTGACTTTCTTTATTCTAACACAAAAGGAGATATTCTGCAGAGTTTTAGAAAGCAGCAGCCATCGACTTCCATATTTTTAGTTCCTACTATGGTTGTCAGGAGCTTTTTTTCAACATTCTTCAAAATATCTTCTTTGTTGTTCAACAGAAGAAACAAATTGCTAAAAATTTAGAACCACTTGAGCGTAAGTAAATGCTGAGAAATTTTTTGTCAGTGTCCCTTTAATATTTTTACCCAGTTCACCCACAGTGTCTTTCCTTAATCTTCAAAAGTTGCTTATTCTACAATGTCCTGGCAGCGGCGAGCTGTACTGTATGTTGATGAGAGGACGTGGATGGGACGGTGTCCTCTGGAACTCCTCAAGAGGGAGGGAGTGGGTATAGAGAGAGGGTCACGATCAGCCTGCAGTGCCTGACAGTATGTCCAGTTTTACAACTGAATCGTGGTTGACGGCAATACGTCGCCTGATGTCAGTCCAAACAGTGCCTTTTACTCTTCTGCAGAGAACTAAAGGAGATTTTGTAAGATTTCTGCTGTGTATCTCATAATTTTGTCGTTGTTATAGACTTTGCTTATTTATTTTGATCATTTAAAGGGTCACAAAACCCTAAAACACATAGTTTGAGGTGTTGACAGACATATACAGTTGAAGTCAGAATTATTACCCCCCCTTTTAATTTTTTTTTCTTTTTTAAATGTTTCCCAAATGATGTTTAACAGAGCAAGGAAATGTTCACAGTATGTCTGATAATATTTTTTTTTCTGGAGAAAGTCTTATTTGATTTATTTCGGCTAGAATAAAAGCAGTTTTAAATTTTTTTAAAGCCATTTTAAGGCCAAAATTATTAGCCCCTTTAAGCTATATATTTTTTTCGATAGTCTACAGAACAAACCATCGTTATACAATAACTTGCCTAATTACTCAAACCTGCCTAATTAACCTTGTTAAGCCTTTAAATGTCACTTTAAGCTGTATAGAAGTGTCTTGAAAAATATCTAGTCAAATATTATTTGCTGTCATCATGGCAAAGATAAAACTAATCAGTTATTAGAAATAAGTTATTAAAAATATTATGTGTAAGAAATGTGTTGAAAAAAATCTTCTCTCCGTTAAACAGAAATTGGGGAATAAAAACCAGGGGGGCTAATAATTCTGACTTCAACTGTATATGTGTCATGTTGCTAAAAACACTATTAGGACACATTTTACTAACAAGTGAAAATTAATTTTTTAAATGTTTTTAGAGCAGTGTTTCTCAACCACGTTCCTAGCATGCCACCAGCTCTGCAAATTAACCACGTCCATCTCATTAGCAGAGACTGTAAGACTTGTAATAGGCATGAAAGACGAAGGAAACATCCTAAACATGCAGTGTTGGTGGTCCTCCTGGAACGTGGTTGAGAAACACAGCAAATTCTTCCGGTTTAAAAAGAAATTTTGGTGCCATGTCACTACGATGAGGTCATTCTGTAAATTCCAGAGTGGTGATTGGTCGGCAGTGTCGTGTAGCACACAGTCACAGTGATCGAGAACCGCTGATTTAAAGATGCTTACAGGGGCTTTTCTGCACCTAACACCTGGTGTATTTTAGAACCAGCTCAGCTTCCAAGCGACCCATACCATTTCCAAAATGTAATGTATTCACACTGCTGATCACCGATTGGGTTGAGAGAATGTCTTGAGATGAGTTCATTCACACATGCAGCTTCAGCCGACAGCCTGTTTCACACCTGCACTGCGAGTGCTGGATCTCCCACAGTGCACTGCGGTAGCGGAGGTTTCATCACAGCAGCTCAACATGAACAGCAACACTTCATTATCACAGGCTGAACACAACTGTATCTACACACTCACAAACCACTCACTCTTCATTTAATGTCACATATACACTGTGCTTATATATTATATTGGATTAATTACACAGTCTAAATTATATGTAATATATAATTCTAGGTTTGTATGAAAAGTAGAATATATATATATAAAAAAATATATGTATATATATGTATGTATATATATGTATGTATATATGTATGTATATATATATAAATTTAGATCTACAGTATAGATGGCTACAAGTCATCAAATATAATATTTAAAATATATATATAAATATTAAAAAGTATTATCTATTGTAGACAGGTCGGGACTGCAGGCAGGCCAGTCAAACATAGTTCATATTTACATTAATTCTAATTGTCTTTATATTTGATAATAATAATTATTATTAAAGTGTAATAATACTATCTAGATCATATAAAATTAATTTTATATTATATTATTTATACTTATAATTAAATGATTTCAGTCATTTATATATCATTAATTATACCTTTATTAAAGCAAACATAATTAACATTAATAATTATAAAAAACGTAATTGTATATTATTTATAGCTTTTTATTTAATGATTTTACTTGTTACATATAAAATATTCAATATTTAAATAAATATTAGATTATTTAAATGAATAAATAACAAAATCATTTGTCAACAAAATCACATTCAAGTTATATGCAATTGAATATTTTTGTATATTTAAATATTTTATATTAATTATCCACGATTATCAGTAATTACGTATAGTCAAGTCTGAGGGTATGAATAATTTCAGGCTTGACCTGTATATATATATTACTAAAAGCAGTATCAAATATATTTAAAACAAACTTACTAATTTTAACACAAACTTACTTCATTCATCTAGATTGCTTTTATAATTAATAATATTTAATTATATGCTATTTTAAAGCATGTGTGTCCGAGTGACTGCAGAATGACTGCTGCAGACGTTCTGCTGATGGTCAGAAGCTTGTCTGAGCAGGACTGCTGTTTGTTGTGGATGTTGCGGTTTGTCTGACAGCAGTCTTGAGTGTTTGGACTGTCCTGTCCTCCTGTCCTCTGTCCTGCTGCTGGTATTGTTGTGTCAGCTGTGAAAGCGTGTGTGTGTATGTGTGTGTGTGTGCACTCTGTTGGTTATGGAGAGACAAACAGTGGCCATCAGGACTCATCATCTCTCTGGATGCTGACAGGCAGTGTTGCCAGAGTTTGCCGTTTTTCCGCACCATTAGGCACTTTTGAAAATGCAGTTCTGGGAAAAATATGAAGTTGTTTAGCATAAAGTGCCAAAGACATTGAAATGTTTATTTTTACATGAAGACAAAATGAAAATCCAAGTCATTTCGGAGTTTAATCCCGGAATGCATACCTGGCAACCCACAAATGCTGCAATTGAGCGAGCAAAGCTGCCGTAGCTTTTGGGAGGGCTTTGGGTTCAGGGTTTGCTGGAAATTTTTCATGGACCTGGCAACCCTGCAGACAGGAGCCTCTGCTGACCTTTACTATCAGTTCGTAAATGTGCATAAAATGTAAAATAATGAAATATAAATGTTCATGAATGTTTATAAAGTGCATAAATGCTAAATCATTTATATATTTGTCTGTATTCAAATGTTATGTAAATTGTTCTATGTTAATTCAAAACAATAATGAATACATTCAGGAATATGTTACATTATTTATTACAATAGTTTTTATATTCTAATTTTTTTACAAATATTTCATCAAATATTTCAGTTTCTTAAAAAAATTAAGCAAAAAAATGAAAGAATAATATATATTACTAGTCTCGGTGTATGAAATGTTATGTAAATTATCAATAAATGCATGCATACATCAGTGAAATAAAGGAATATGTCTAATATTACTGAATAAATTACATAAAAACATAAATAGTTCACTGATTAATCTCAATTAATAAATATAGACTTTGTATTACTTAATATATTTTCAAGATAACGATATTATTCAAAATTTATAATTACACATCATTTTTTATTATGCATTCATTCATTCATTTTCTTTTCGGCTTAGTCCCTTTATTAATCAGAAGTTGCCACAGTGGAATGAACCGCCAACATATATGTTTTACATAGCGGATGCCCCTTCATCCGCAATCCAACACTGGGAAACACCCATATGCACTCTTTCACACACACACACACTCACTACAGCCAATTAAGCTCATTCATTTCACCTATAGCTTTATAGGGTAAACCGGCGAACCCGAGGCTCGAACCAGCAACCTTTTTACTGTGAGGTAATAATTCTTCCGTCATGTATATAGTGAATTGTTTCTCTGGTCACTTGAGAATGTTTCCAGCGCAAAGACAGAAAGATGTCTTCAGTTTGACTTTTATTGTTATGGTGTTACTTATGAAACAAGAGAAGCTTCAAAGCAGTTTCAGGCCCACGAGACTTTGCCGTTTCCCATGATGCATCGCTGTCATTTCCTCTAATGTGATGAGTTTGTGCATTAGCCATGTGTTTTATCCCATTTCCTGAGCGTAACCAGCCCTGATCAGCAAACATTAATAAAGCCAGCAGAGCCGGCGGACACACGACTCTGTGTGTGTGTATGTGTGTGTGTGTGTGTGTGTGTGTGTGTGTGTGTGTGTGTGTGTGTGTGTGTGTGTGTGTGTGTGTGTGTGTGTGTGTGTGTAAATCTTCCCCTTCAGTCTTCTAGCAGACAGAGTTGGATTCAGGCTTCCCGGTTCATGTTACATGTGCATAGAGAGAGTCTGTGTGTAATGTCTGTGTGGATGTGTTGGTGTATGCCATTTTCATTGCATGTCTCATTCACTCTTTTTGCTTAAACTGTTTTTTTATAATTATTTTTAATGTAAATATTTTTTTTTTATATTTTTGGGGGCAGATTTCATGTGGATCTGAACACAACCTGGCTGTTGTGGGTGAGTACAATGTGTTATTTTTTAATTTAATTTATTTATTATTTAATTTTATTTTATTGCTGTATAGTATTACTTTTTTGTTGTTGTTGCTGTTTTAGTGTTATTTTAATGTTGTATTACAAGCCCAAAACAGAAAAAGTTGGGACAGTAATGAAAACGCAAATAAAAAAAGGAAGAAGTGATTTCGAAATTTACTTTGACTTGTATTTTATCGAAGACAATACAACAAACATTATTTAATGTGTTCCTCGTGATTTTTTTTCTAATCTTGCAACACATTTCAAAAAAAGTTGGAACAGTACAGCACTTTATAATTATATACATACCCCTTTGTAATGTTGCCATTCCCTCCACAACACTTTAAAGACATTTAGTGACTGAAGACACCAAGAGATTTTGTCCCATTCTTCCTGCAAACAAGTCTTAAGTTGGCCAACAGTGCGGGTTTTTGTTGTTGCCACACATTCTCTATTGGAGACAGGTCGGGACTGAAGGCAGGCCAGTCAAGTACCTCTATCCTCCCCAGCCAGGACTTTGTAGTGTGTGCAGAATTTAGTTTTGCATTGTCTTGTTGTAATATGCAGGGGTATCCCTGGAAATAGAGGGCAGCATATTGTCCTCCAAAATCTCTATGTACTTTTCAGCATTAAAGGTTCAGGACACCCTGGATAGCTTTTTTTTTTATATTAACAGATTTGTGTGTGTTGAGCATCAGTTAAGACAATGTTAGCACTTGTCAGCTTTAATTGTGGGGAAAAATGGATAATTTTGAGCTTTTGTCAGCTAATTTCAGCTTCCGGGTTTAAAATGATTTTTGGGGCGGGATCAAAATCGGCGACGTAGCGCAGCACTGCCAGTGCAATGATGACGCGTCGGTTTCTCATTATTATTCATAGCGGAGTTTTCTTATCCTATGAGAAGAGCCGGCTGCTTAATTATTCATGAGACCTGCCAGACCTGCCAGAGTCAAGCCCAAGCTGTGAGACACGTCACGGACCCACGGCACGGGCACACAATATTTAGCCGTTCATGAAGGCTCGTATGTGTTTGTTTGCATGATCCACGCGGTTTGTTGCATGTTTTCCCCCGCGATCTTGTCAGGGCCGATCATACAGCAAAGATGTGTGTGTGCTGCAAGCATTTTTGTCGGGAGAGCAGCACGAGAATTAGAGAATGGCGGACATGGTCTTTTATTAGGAGTTCACTCACATTCAGACACATCACTGTGCTGCTGTGTTTGCCTAAATCATCCAGATTACCAGCAGGGCTAACGGTTAAAATAGACAGGTCAGGAGACCTGCTGCATACGGGGTCTGCTGGATACGGGGATTGAGGGAGAAGTCCCCATTTATATGGTTTACATGAACACACTTATCTTTATAATGATATAAATTGTGGTTATGTGTATATGAAATTACGAATAACAAATGTAGCAGGACATTAAATTACTATTTATTTCTTTGCATTTTAACTTTGTAAACTATAAACTCATGCTCCTCACGGTTTGTCTCATTTTGTGAGCTAGCTTTGTTCGCTCCCCTTCTCCCCTGCTGGCCATGCCCACTCCTGCCAGATGCTCGCGGAGCTCCACGCCCATTAATCATGCATCTTTTGAAAAATTTCTTAAGTAGACTTTAACCGAAAGTGGGGGGTGTCATGGCCCTTTAATGGTGCCATCACAGAAATGCAAGTTACCTTTGCCAAGGGCACCAACACAATGCCATACAATGTCAGATCTTGTCTTTTGGACTTGTTGCTGGTGACAGTCTGGATGATTGTTTTCTTCTTTGGGCTGTGTCCACTATGATTGTCCATCCCAGATTCCTCCGAGCCCAGAGAGGTCAACGGCATTCTGGACACTGTTAACATAGGGCTTCCTTTTGGCACAGAACAGTTTTAACTGGCATTTGTGAATGTAACTACATATTGTGGTGCCTGACAAAGGTTTGCCAAAGAAGTCCTGAGCTCATGTGATGATATCGCTTACAGATGAATGATGATTCTTGATGCAGTGCTGCCTGAGGGATCGAAGGTCACGGTAGTTCAGCTTAGACTTGCACCCTTGTCAAGTTCCTCCAGATTCCTTAAAGCTTTTAATCATGTTATGCACTGTTGAAGGTGAAATATCTAAATGTCTTTCTATTTTCCTTTGAGGAACATTGTTTTTAAACATTTCAAGAAATTTCTCATGCATTTGTTGGGAAACTGGAGATCCTTTGCCCATCTTTGCTCCTAAAGGACTAGACCTGTCTTGGATGTTGCTTTTGTACCAAATCATAATTGCAATCACCTGTTGACATCACCTGTTTCACATTACATCATTATTTAACCATTGTACCTGATTACTAGCGCTAAACTGCTCCTGTCCCAACTTTTTTTGGAATGTGTTGGAGCTCTGAATGACAGGAAATTATGTATATTTACAAATGAAATGACATTAACCAGACCAAAGATATATTGTGTTGAAATAATTTGTGTTTATTTGTCTGCAATGAAATGTTTGGAAATCACTACTTTCTTTTTTTATTTGCGGTTACCATACTGTCCCAACCTTTTCTGATTCGGGGTTGAACGTTTGCGATGGCAGTAATTCTGCAATATCCTAATGTGTGAAGCAGCTCATTCTGGGCAGCGTCTGCTTTGACATTGAGCCTGAGAGAGTAAAAGCCTGGATTACCGCAAAGTAAAGCAGCAGTTTGAGATTTGACGGTCAGAATTAAAGCCAAGAGCGTCTGGATTACAGTAATAAGACATTTCCAGCGTTAATGGAGATGAATATCTGCTACTGGAGTAATTAAGCGCCTCTGATCTTTACTGCTATCATTGAAAGGCGCTGGGAATTTAGTGCTCGTGTCTTTGTTTAAGGGCATCAGACAGAAATGAGCTTTCGCTGCAAAAAAAATACAACTTTTTTTGATGGAATGTAAGCTTTGGATCTGTTAAATTCCCATTAACTTGTGCAGAGGGCAAAAAAATAGTTTGAAAGCTTTAAAATAGCTTCATTGCATCACATTATTGTTACATTAATCATATTTTATTTCATTTCCAAAGCAAAAGAAAAACACAAGAGTACAGTTTTGACCTCAAACTCTCATTAGCTTTATTCAAAATAAAATCAATTTCTTGTTATGTATGTATGTATGTATGTATGTGTATGTATGTATGTATGTATGTATGTGTGTGTGTGTGTGTGTGTGTGTGTGTGTGTGTGTGTGTGTGTGTGTGTGTGTATATATATATAGATAGATAGATAGATAGATAGATAGATAGATAGATAGATAGATAGATAGATAGATAGATAGATAGATAGATAGATAGATAGATAAAGAATTATTTAAAAGAAAGTATGTAACAAATAATTTTAAATGTGTGTTCATAAAATTCAAATACACAATGTGTAATGTGTTTAACTTAATGATATAATTAAATGACAAATCAGATATTTTAAATAAAATTATTATTATTGTTATTATTAGTAGTAGTAATAGTAGTATTTAATATTATTTATAGTATTTAAATTATATTAACTATATACATTATAGCAACTTAACAACTATAACATTTGAATGTTATTATTAATAATGTAATTAATCATCAGCTTTTTTTCACATATAGATTTTTCCTATTTATTTCATTTTCATTCATAAAATTATGTTGATTAATATTATTATTATATTATATTAATATTGTTATTATTATTTTATTCTAGAAAAATATATATGAATAATTTTATTATATTGACTTTTTGTTTGGAATTAATCATAATACCTAAATACATTGAACATTTAAATGCTGCTAATAATAATATAATTAATCACCCGCTTTTTGTACATATAAATTTTTCCTTTATATTTCATATTCATTTCAATAATATTAATTATTATTTTCATTACCATTACATTATTATTATTATCATTATTATTATTATTATTATTATTATTATTATAGAAAATATGCATACATATTTTTAGTTCTATTCACATTTTTAATGATTCTTGCTACACAACTGTGTTTAAACCCCTTATAAAAGTGAATTTTGCATAATAGGTCACCTTTAAAGGTTTCTTGTCATTTATTTATTTATTACAATATGTTTACATCCATCCAGTCATTAGTAAAAAATACTTAATTTGATTATTCATTCATTCATTCATTCACTTTCTTTTAGGCTTAGTCCCTTTATTAATCAGGGGTCGCCACAGCATAATGAACCGCTAACTTATTCAGCATATGTTTTACGCTGCTGATGCCCTTCTTGCTGCAACCCAGTTCTGGGAAACCCCCATACACTCTCATTCCCACACTTATACACAACGGTCAATTTAGCTCACCCAATTCACCTATAGCACATGTCTTTAGACTGTGGGGAAAACTGGAGGAAACCCAAGCCAACACAGGGAAAACATGCAAACTCCACACAGAAATGCCAAATGACCCGACCAAGGCTCGAACCAGCGACCTTTCTGCTGTGAGGCAACAGCGACAGCAAAAAAAAAAAAAATTGTTCCCCCATAATTAAATCAAAATATGCATAGATTTCCCTTAACATTACATTTCAAGTCTTCTGTTTTTTTTTTTTTCGTTTTTTTTGAAGGACCCCTGTGTGACCCCTAAACGATGCTTTATAATGTTTCTTTAAATGACTTTACGCAGTGAATCAGAAAAGCCTCTCTCTCTCCCTCTCTCTCTCTCTCTCTCTCTCTCTCTCTCTCTCTCTCTTTCTCTCTCTCTCTCTCTCTCTTCATGATTTCTCTTGTCCAGATTAGTATGCTGTACTGTGTGTTTCTATGGTCTGTAAGAGTGTTGCTATGGGAACAGTTGTGCTGCACATCAGCCACTGAGCACCAGCGCTCTTGTTTTTGAGAATAACACATAATCCACACTCAAAGAGCATCAACTGCTGAACAAAATAAAAAAATAGGGCTGTGTTTTTCTGTCCCTCCAGGATTTAGTGCAAAACATGCAGAGCTAATGCTGCAAAACTTTAAGCAACTTGCATTTTTATTACAAATTTCTGCAGATTTTGGCCAGTCTTAAACACATCATGACGATAATAATATCAGGAGTTTATTGAATGAATATCATTCATTCATTTTCTTGTCAGCTTAGTCCCTTTATTAATGCGGGGTCGTCACAGCAGAATGAACCGCCAACTTATCCAGCAACTTTTTACGCAGCGCATGCCCTTCCAGCCGCAACCCATCTCTGGGAAACATCCACACACACATTCACTCATACACTACAGACAATTTAGCCTGCCCAATTCACCTGTACTGCATGTCCTTAGACTGTGGGGGAAACCGAAGCACCCGGAGGAAACCCACGCGAACGCAGGGAGAACATGCAAACTCCACACAGAAACGCCAACTGAGCCGAGCGACCTTCTTGCTGTGAGCCGTCAGCACTACCTACTGCGCCACTGCCTTGCCCATTGTTATATATTAACAAATGTAAATCATTTTCACATTAGTATATCAGACCACTGGCGTAAAATGCAAATACATATAATTCATTGCTTTAAATGATATATAAATTGTATTTAGGACGACTCTTAAGTGCCTAGTTTAATGATGTAAGTGCTGTAATTTAAAATTATGGTGGGCAAAACAAAAATTAATCCAGTATTTTTGATAAATATTTTTATGATTTAGCTAAGGTAAACAACGTTTTATAGTTTTTATGATCATTTATAGTTAGATATGCTAAGGTTTGCTAATGTACAGTTGAAGTCAGAATTATTAGCCCCCTTTTAATTTTTTTCTTTTTTAAATATTTCCGAAATGATGTTTAACAGAGTAAGGAAATTTTCACAGTATCTCTGATAATATTTTTTTTTTTTTTCTGGAAAAGTCTTATTTGTTTTATTTCGGCTATAATAAAAGCAGTTTTTAATTTTTTTAAAACATTTTAAGGTTAAAATTATTAGCCCCTTTAAGCTATATATTTTTTTCGATAGACTACAGAACAAACCATTGTTATACAATAACTTGCCTAATTACCCTAACCTGACTAGTTAACCTAAGTAACCTTGTTAAGCCTTTAAATTTCACTTTAAGCTGTATAGAAGTGTCTTAAAAATATATATAGAAAAATATTATTTGCTGTCATCATGGCAAAGATAAAATAAATCAGTTATTAGAAATAAGTTATTAAAACCACTATGTTTAGAAATGTGTTGAAAAAATAATCTCTCCGTTAAACAGAAATTGGGGAAAAAATAAACAGGGTGGTGAATAAATCAGGGGGGCTAATAATTCTGACTTCAACTGTATATGCTAATAAGTTTTAAGTAGTGAACAATTAAAGTGAACACTCCACCCTTTTTGGAATAGGCTCAGTTTGCGATTGTGTACTAAAAAAGTTAAAAGATGATATCTTCTAGGCCAGTATGTCCTGGGACTATTCTCTCATTCTGGCGTAATAATAATTAAGTATTGAGAGAAGTTTAGTTCCTAGTCATATTGTTGTAGAAAATAGCAACTTTTCATTTTCTTTCAGTCTTACACACAATGTAACTACAGAAGAGTCCAGCTTTAAATAGGAAAATTATTCAAATTTTTTTTTTGATTAAGATGCTAATGGTCTAATCCGATTTAATGATCTATGCTAAGCTAAGCTAAAAGCGCTTCCACCAGACCCAATGATCGGCTGAATGGATTAAAAAATATGGTAAAATTCAACTGTTTACCTCTAGGTGACTTGCAAAATGTGCCTATTTCCTTCTCTATTTGTTTCTCTCAGTGTTTCCATCATATAAATTACAGAGCTTGTTAGTTCTTTCATTTAAAAAGCAAAAAACTGAAAGTATGTTTATTTATTTATTTGACGTGGACATCACAACTACACTGGACAACCAAATGCATTTGTTTAAGTGTTTTAGCAGACTTCCTAATTCTCAACCCCTGTTCAAGGCAGGCTTGACATCAAATGAAAATGAAACAGATACATACGCACATTATATTGTATGTATTGTATCTATTGTATTTGCACAGAAAAGCCACCACAAAACCAGTCAGAAAAAATTACCTGTGACATCTTGAGTTTTATTTTTAATTAATATTGTCATGCAAAACAATCCTACTTTTGTTATTGTAAAAAAGTAAAAATAAATCAGATATTAGCTGTTATGATGTCTTTGTGATAGTGGAGCTGTGTGTGCGCGTGTGCTGAAGTGTGGCAGACAGACAGAATGAGTTTTGCCCTTGAGAAAGCGTTCCCGCTCCTGGTTGCCATGGTGACAGGAGCTGTTATGTAAGCATGTTGCTGTGGCACATGCTTCCATGGCGATGCGGACTTGGCCACGCCCACCAGCTGGACGTGTGTAAGAGCTGTTCAAGATGACTCTGTCAGACCCGCACATTCATAAGCTTCATCTGGACACCCTTCATTCATAACAGTCATACACACAATATCACAATCAGATTATTTTCTGTCTGTCACTCTGTTTATCTGTTTATAAAAATATAATTTATCAAATTCTTGTGATTTTATTAGAAATATATATAAATTTAATATTCATTCGTTCATTTTCCTAAGGCTTAGTCTCTTAATTATTAGGGGTCACCACAGCGGAATGAACCGCCAATTATTCCGGCATGTTTTAAACAGCGACAAATCCAATTTTTCCAGCCACAAATCAGTACTGGGCAACACCCATACACACTACGGCCAATTTAGTTTATCCAATTTCCCTATAGTGAATGTCTTTGGGGAAAAACCGGAGCACCTGGAAGAAACCCACAGAAACATGAGGAGAACATGCAAACTCCACACAGAAATGCTAACTGGCACAGCCGGGACTCGAACCGGCAACCTTCTTACTGTGAGACCACAGGGCTAACCCCTGAGCCACCATGTCGCCCTTTCTAAATCATTTTACAGTAAAAACATTATTTCATTAAATATGAACTGATTTGCATATTTGTCAATTTTCTTTTTAAAAAAAATAAAATTAGTAATAAATAATTTTAAAAATAAGACTTTTAAAATTATTTTACAGTAAAATGAAATTAACCCCTCAGCGTTCCTGTGAAATTTGCTTAAAATGCTTAAAAAATGCATACCTAAAGTTAATTGCATGCTATTTTTGAACCTTTTTTAATATATTCATGGTTTTGGTCTCTTTTAAAAGGTGACACACTAAGGTTTATTCCTTAATAACCAGAATCACTGTAAATGTTATTGGTATTGAGTAATTAGGTATAGGACACTCTGAAAAATAAAATATTAAAACCCACCTAAACTTTTTATTTTAACTAATGCCGCAGATTGACTTTAATTAAGAGGCATTCGTTTGACAAGACAATTGGGATTAAAGCATAAACAAATAAATGAATGGTTATCACAAAATTTCCCCAATTGATTAATTACATGACAACGAATACAAGCTTTCTAAAATGTTATGTTTAATTATGCAAATAATCCATTATTTCATTAAACATACACCGAATTACATATTTTTTCATTTTTTTCATTTATTTATTTTTAATTTTTTGTGGTAAAAATAGGGCTTTCTATATTAGTCTACAAATAAAATTAATTTAAAAAATGCATACCCAAAGTAAATTGCATGCTATTTTTGAACCCTTTTTTAGTATATGCATGGTTTTGGTCTTATTTGAAAGGTAATACACTGAGGTTTATTCCTTAATAGCCGGAATTACTGTAAACGTTATTGCTATTGAGTACTTAAACTTAGGACACACTGAAAAATGTAAGATAAAAAATCTGCCTAAAATTTTTATCGTAACTAATGCTTACAGACAGGGGTGTGTGTGGTGGGGGGGTTGGTCCAAAAGTTGACATTCATATAATTACTAATCACCTGTTTTTTAAATGGTCTGTCTCTAAAAGTGAGGGGGACGTATCCCCCCGTTTGCTACACCCCTGCCTGCAGATGACTTTAATTAAGAGGTATTAGTTTAAAAAGACAGCTGGATCAAAGTATGAAGCCTTACCAAGCCAAATTTTCTTTATTGAAAACAGTAGATTTGAAAATTAGTGTTTTATTCATATTTATCCAGGTGAATGTCTAGGCGCTTCTTAACACGGGCCACTTGGAGACTCCAATTGACCCTTTTTAAATACATTTGTAAAAAAAATTGGTAATTAATCTATCGCATTATATTCGTTTTGGTTGTAAAAAAATTGTTTTTATAAAATCTGTAATTTTGACATTTTTTTCTATTAATATTTATTTTATTTTATTTTTTGACAAATAAAAATAAATAAAAAATATATTATATTTTATTATATTATATTATATTATACTTTTTTGATTAATTAGTAAATGAAATGGGTGACACGGTGGCTCTGCGGTTAGCACTGTTACCTCACAGCAAATAGGTTGCTGGTTCGAGTCTTGGTTGGGTCAGTTGGCATTTCTGTGTGGAGTTTGCATGTTCTCCCCATGTTGGTGTGGGTTTCCCTCACAGCCCAAAGATATGCGTTATAGGTGAATTGAATAAACTAAATTGGCTGTAGTGTATGTGTGTCAATGAGGGTGTATAGCTGTTTCCTAGTACTGGGTTGGGGCTGAAAGGGTATCCGCTGTGTAAAACATATGCTGGAATAGTTGGCGGTTCATTCCGCTGTGGCGACCCCCGATAAATAAAGGGACTAAGCCGAAAGAAAAGGAATGAATAAATGAATAGTATATAAAATAAAGATCCATAAATATCCATCTTTCCATGGTCATGGGTTACATCTGTCTCTGTCTGTCTCTCTTCAGGGGGTCGGGTCTTCTCCTGGGGCTGGAATGAACATGGAATGTGTGGCGACGGTTCCCTTCAGGACATCACACAACCTCAGCCAATCCCTGCTCTCGCCGATGCTGTGGCTCTTCTGATTGGCTGTGGAGCAGGGCATTCAATGGCACTGTGCAGTTTGAAGAGCAGTGAAGACTCAGCAAGATGAGCAGGTTAAACTTTCACCTCTCTGACTGTCACAGAAACTGTCAGCTTACACAACCGTTTAATGAATTATTCACAACGGCACATTTAAAACTTTAAAGGACAAGATTTAGATAAAAAAATCACACACACATTAAAAAGGTTTAAAATATGCAACATAATGCTAAAAATAATTTTGTTTAGGCTGACTACATTCATGTCTTAAATTAGATTATTTATTTAATTATTTTAGTTGGCTAAATGTACACTTTAGTATGTTAAGACAAGACACAGGTGAATAGGGTATAAAAATGAATTAAATTAACAAAAAAATGAATGTTTATCACAATATTTTTCACAGTTGATTGAATAAATGACAAGTATTAAAATGCCTTGTTTATATATGCAAATAATTCATGATCAGTGTTGGGGAAAGTTACGTTTGAAAGTAATGCGTTACGTTACTTTGCGTTATCTTTCCCTTTCTGGCTGAGGTTTGATCTCTTTCAGAACTTGCAGGGGGTTTTTTTTACTCTTTTTATTGAGAAGCTCTGCATTTAACAACCACCTATATAACCGACACCCTTATTTTCCTTTAAGAAATGTAGAATAAAATTATATTTTGGGAGTTTTCTGATCCCAGAGCTATACATGCTGTATATACAGATTAATGAAGGCATGTGAAGTCATGTGTTTGCTACTTTTGAGTGTTTTGTGTTGTTAGGTAAGTAAATTCACTGTCCATTGAGATAAAGATTGCAATAAAGCCTAAGAGTACTAAAATGAAATAATTTGTATTAAGGCAAAAACCGATTTAAATTTTTTTAAATGTTTAATAACAAAATAAACAGTAAGACGATAAAAAGGCCCCAAATCAAAATAAATCTTTGAGTTTTATACATTGAATAAATAGCTTCATGTGGCCTTAACAAATGTGTAAATGGTTTTGCAAAAGAGAACATTTTTTACTGTATTACAAATTGTAGTCACTTCTACAGTAACATTAGACAGTGGCTGTATCTCCTTAACAATTAAAGAAATAACCATTTTTTTTAGTTTAGTTGAATTAACTGTTTTACCTGGAAAACGTGAACTGATGTCAATCATAGCTGGAGGTGGGGTGTGAGTGTAGTGCTTCGCATTCAATTTTGTTTTTGTTTTTTTAATGTTGTGTTTCTTTCAGTTGTTAAGAGTTTTACTTACGCATAATGTACATCTAACCATAATCCACTTCTTTTTTTTCAATAAGTTCAAAATAAGAATAATCCATCGCAAAAATATAAGTGTCCGGCCTGCCATTGTTTCTGTTTCTGAATGATGACGGGCGATTCTCGAATGAATCATTTGTTTTAACCGGATCTTCTTAGTGAACCGGTCGACCAGTTCATTGAATTGAAGTTCTTTTCATTGAGTTTTCATGAAACGGTTTGCATCTTAAGTAAGTATTAACATACCGTATACCTCCTCTGACTCGAAATAAACCCATATCCTGAGTTACTCAGTTACTAGAACAGTACACTGACTCATCTGCTGTAAAAAAGCAGAGCTGATGATGATGATGAGTGCATGTCTCTCATTGAGTGTGTGATTTAACCTGACTAAAGTCCTTTTTAATCCGCAATATCCTTTGTAAAATCCACTTAAGCAAGGTAAAAAGTAACTTGCTTTACATTTTTTAAAAAGTAACTCAAATAATATGACTTATTTTTAAAAGTAATGCTCTCTTTACTCGTTACTTTGGAAAAGTAATATTATTACGTAACGTGTTACTTATAACGCACTACCCCCAACACTGTCCATGATTTCATTAAACATAACATAACAAACCTGAACATTGGATATTTACAGGTTTAAAAATTCTTATTTCTTTTTTTCTACTTGAACATCTCCCTCAGTAAAAACAAATTTCAAAGTTATAGACCTGAGTAAAGCAGTGTAGTTTGGGGTTTGTAAGAGCTGCTAAAGCGGAGGTGTGTGCTTTTAAAAATATTTCTTGCATTTAAAAATTGATCAAGTGTGATAAAAGGAGATTTTAAAAGTGTATTTTGGATTTTTTTTGTAACATTAGACGGAAAAAAAAACTATGGAAAGCCCAAAACCCCGAATCTTAAAACGTGATTTATCTGTGGTTTTACAGCCGTTCTGAAACACTGTATTGACTGAGGAGAGTCTGACTGAATCAGATGCTCATTCTCCAGATGGCTCTTGTACACATCAGTGCCGAAATGGCCAATCATTTGCTATGATTGGTAGTCAAGGATCGTTTTCTCTGACCTTTTACCTCATGAGGACATAGAGAAACACTTAAATTACCTTCACTGTAAAACCAGTAACTGAAACAGATTTACTGCAGTGAAATGACCTGCCGGAAGGCACAGTGTTTCCGACTGACTAATTACATACACTTAAGGGAAAAATTATTAGCCCTCCTGTTAAATTTTTCAAATATTTCACTTGTTCCGTTTAACCGAGAGGCTTAATTTGCATGCTTTTAAAGCGATTAAACTAATTTCTTTTGTCTTTGCTATGATGACAGTATGTGATATCTTATAAGTTATTAAATAAGGTACTAGCTTTCAGCTTAAAGTGGGATTTAAAGGCTTAATGTTAAGTAGGAAATTTAAGTTGATTTGGCAAGTCATTTGGATAACAGTGGTTTGTTCTGTAGCCAATAAAAAAAAACATTTCTTAAGGGGGTTAATAATATTAAGTTTAAAAACTGCTTTTAAAGAAGTTCCAACTCTTAAATTAGTACATTACATCTGGAAAAAGAATCGGGTATACCCTAATACAGTGATCACCAAACTTGCTCCTGGAGGGCCGGTGTCCAGCAGATTTTAGCTCCAACCCTAATCAAACACACCTGAACAAGCTAATCAAGGTCTTACTTGGTATACTTGAAACATCCAGGCAGGTGTGTTGAGGCAAGGTTGGAGCTAAACCCTGCAGGGACACCGGCCCTCCTGGACCAGGATTGGTGACCCCTGCCCTAATAGATAAGATTTAATTATTTGAATAAATTTCCCCTTTTATTTCCTTTCTGCAAACTTGTGAATAATATGTTTACTATGCCTTAAGTAGCTACTTTTACTATTGGATTGCACTGATGGGGGGTTGGTTGGGGGAAAGTATGTTTAATTTTTGTTTAATTATTATTTTTAGCACTGTTGGTTGTTGTTTTTTTAATGTCTAATTGATAAAATGTAAGTTTTGTTTGTATTTTTAAAAAGTGTATTTACAATTTCTGCTAAATTTCTAATAATAAAAAAACAAAAAAAAACTGCTTTTCTAGCCAGACTGAAAGAAATAAGAATAATACTTTATCCAAAAGAAAAAATATAATAGAAAATACGGTGTAAATTCTAAAAAAAAAAAAGAAAAAAAAAACTGGGAAATACTTTAAAAAGAATAAAAACTTCACAGGAGGGCTGATCATTTTGACTTCAGCTTTATACAGCTATGGGAAATAATTAAGATAATTGTAAATAAAAAAGATTTAGAGCATTTTCTGTATTTCTCCAAATATTCATTTTGTAACTCTTTCGAACACTATAAAAAATGCAGGGCTCCACACAGTCGATTTGGTAAGAATTAAGTACTTTCTAGTTTTTACAAATTGAAGTAGATTGAACATAACACTGTAAAGTTGTCCCAAAAAAAACCTTAATAATTTTGTTTTTTCAGCTTATTTTATAGTTAATTTTATGCAATAACACTGATATTGTTTTTTTTTTTATTTATATAAAATGTCTAAAACATGTCTTTTTGTCATTTTATGCAAAGTTTTTGAATACTTAGTGGACAAAACTCATTACTACAAATTATAAATCCATCCATGTACACTACCTGACAAAAGTCTTGTCGTTTATCCCAGTTGTAAAAGCAACAAATAATAACTTCTAGTTGATCATTTGGAAAAGTGGCAGATTTTTCAGGTGAATCATCTGCTGAACTGCATCCCAGTAATCACAAATTCTGCAGAAGATCTATTGTAACCCGCATGGACCCAAGATTCTCATGGAAATCAGTCAAGTCTGGTGAAGGAAAAATCATGGTTTGGGGTTATATTCAGTATGGGGGCGTGCGAGAGATCTGCAGAATAGATGGCAACATTACAGCCTGAGATATCAAGACATTTGTGCTGCCCATTACATTACAAACCACAGGTCAGGGCAAATTCTTCAGCAGGATAGCGCTCCTTCTAATACCTCAGCCTTTATATTCTATACTGGACATTATTTCTGTTAAGTGACGAGACTTTTATCTAAGCAAAGTCAGTATTTACTGTCCTGCTAATTAAATAATTAAAAAAATCAAGGCATGATCATATTTTATTTTGGTAAAATAAGCGTAATCTAGAGGCCTTTGCCTTTCACATTAGCCACTTCTAATACCAAATGATCAACTAGAAGTCAACTTATTATTTGTTATTCCTAAAACTTGGATAGGCGACAAGACTTTTGTCAGGTAGTTTATAAGAGAAATAGAAATTGTATTTATTTTGGTTGTGTTCATGTGTTGATACATCATGTTATAGTTTCTGTACTACTAAGTCCATATCTGTACGGCCTTTAAAAGAATGAAAAACACACAAAATCAGTGTTTTAGTGCTTTTTATTATCATTATCATTTGTAGTTTTCATTGCTTTTTTAAAATTCTCTCTTCAGAAAAAGACACAAATAGCCTTAACAACATGTCAACTCAAACCATCAATGAAAACACCACCTGCTTTTAAATAACTATCCATACTACGCACTGCAATGTGCTGAAAAACACAAGGAACGTCTCACAAAACAGCACAAACGTGAGCCTTTTACAGTCAGGAAGTTGAATATCCAAAAACGCATTTGTAAAAGACTGTAAACCTCTTAAATGTATTGGTTTCTATAGTTTGTTCTCTGATGTGGTCGGGTCTTTGAACAGTCCAGCATATTATAAGGAAACGACCCAACTTTGACATTCCTGTGATACAACTGGCAGTGCGCTAGTTTGGCCCCAAAAAATTGGGTTTACTTCACATTTTCACAA